TCCTTCCTTGTCCTGTCCTTATCTGTTTTAAGGACAAGGGTGATTGGAGGAGTCCGACCTGGTGGGGCCCCAGGATCTGTTTTGAGCCTTTGACCTTTGAGCACTGCTTTGGTCAGCTCAGCACATTGGCAAGGCTGCTGCTGTACGCCCCCCCAAAGCTTGGGTCTACTCAGCATGTTGGCAAGGCCGCTTGTTGTATGCTCCAGAGACTGCGGTAGTCTTGCTGGGAAGTGACCCCCTTCTGATTCCCTGATATACTACTATACAAGAATTACATAGTTCTCTTATACATCCTGAGTATATGATAAAATTTCCTGAAAGTCCCCTGACTGCTCCCCTTTGCCCTGACCACCTACTGTTAATTACAGTGCTTCATCCCTGCAGTCACAATAGAAGGTGTGCTCAAGTTACATCTAGACAGAAATATTCTTGACCTTTGGAAGGCCCTTCAAGACACATTTAACATAAGCTTAAAAATAACCTTTTAGACTGAAACTGGCCCAGGACACTCCGGCCTCATGGTCGCTAATGTTCTAACAAAATACATAACAGTGGTGCCACAGGCACAATAGAATGCTTAGGTATGCCACAAACCCACTTTAAAGTTCTTCATTAACTTGTTAGTCACTTTACCACCAGTTGAAAAAGCTGTATCCCCACCCTCACCAAGTGAACAATAGATTCACCCCTTTAAAATAGATAAATATATTAAGATTCCTTGAATTAAGTTTTAGGTCCCTATAAAATGATGTAAGTGTCATTATTGAGATCCATAAGAACTAATATCTATACTTGAGATTTTCTTTTCTTAGCATTGTGCTTGGTAATCACAAGATGGCTGCCACCACATCAGCTAATAATTATCTCTGCTTGCTGGAGCTGCTTTCCTGAAATTGCATTCCATGAAGACCTGCCTACATCAAATGAACAATCGCTGAACTGTAATAGATCCACCCTTAATCCAACCCTAAATGGAACCTATGTTCCCTATTGTTAAAACTCTATGAACTGATGGGAACCAGCAGTTAGCGTAATGGCTATGTCGCTGGACTCCCACGTAGTCGACTGCAGTTTACGTCCCGGACCCGGTGGCTTAAAACTCATGCCAGGCATGTGTGCGTGCATGTCCAAGATCCTGAGAGGAGAATGGAGGAGAAGGGACTGTGGCATGACCATCCCGCCTGGGGGGTGATTTCTCGCTTTCTGTCTCTATGTCTCTCTCTCTGTCTGTCTGGCAAGCGCACATGCCTATAGCGAAAATCTCTCCAACAACAAAAAAACCCCTTATGAACGGATAATTAGAACATGTAGCCCCTCACCTGTTTACTTGTATGTATCACATTTTCAACAAAATGGCACGATAATTCCTAGCAGGGGTCACTCTACAGAGAGCGATCTCTGGCGGGGTGTCTGATTGAGGATGTGCATGAAAAAGGCACCGAGGCCTTTGTCTTTCCTTCTTGCACTGCCTCCGATGAGATAACCCACCCCTGC